GGTGTGCGCCTCCGGCCGCGCGCGCCCGGTGCTGGCGGGCCTTTTCCGTCCCCGCCGGCCGCTGCGCCGGGAGCCTGGAAGGAGGACGAGCGGTGCAGGCACTGGGCGCCGGCCTTGGGGCCGCCCCGACGGGGACCGTGGGCTCGCTCACTCCGTAGCCCGTCAACTGAAGCCGTTCGGGAAGGGAAAGCGTCTCGTACCCCGAAAAGCGGCGGCTGTGCGACCTGACCCGGCGCTTCGAGGGGCGCTTCCCGCCGCGAGGGTGCGGCGCGGGCGGGGCCTGTTTCTGACGCGCTGGCGGATAAAGACGCCTTTCTGCCGCATTCAGAAAAAAATTTTATTTTTCTGCTGAAAAGTTTGAAAGTGAAATGGTTTTGTAGGCCCTTTCCGAGGACGGCGCGGAGAAGCTGCCAGGTGGCAGGTGCTCAGGACGCGGGGCGGGGGCGGAGTCACCCCAGGGGATCACACGAGGGGTGAGAACTGCGCGGGGACAGCTGGGGAGGTGGTGCGTCCTCGGGGCGCCGGGCACCTCGCCGCTCTCCATCGGGCCCTCCTCCCGTACATCGCACATCGGACTCTGGAGCGGGACCGGGGCATAAGCAGGAGGCACCGCGGTCCCCTCTGCTCACTCTCAGGGAGGAGGCGGATGCATTCCCGAACCCCGAGTAAGTCCAGCGTGGGGTGGAAGACTCCCCGAAATGCCACCGGAAACGCTGGGAGTCGACTTGGCTGGAACTGCTGGGGGTCTGAAAGAATCCGGATCTACCATGCGGGCCTACCTGTTTCTCTAAAAGGACGTCACTCTCTGAGGGTGGACATGGCTTGATACACAGAATTCTGGTCTCTTCCACGGTGGGGGGGCGGGGAGGAGCAGGCCGTGGAAGGTGGGGGTCCAGACTGCTCTCTAGGGGGACTCAGACGGCTGGAGCTTGCTGGCGATTGTCTGGCTGACCTTGAGCAGGGCCTCCTGGAACTGGGGGTACTCGTCCTTCACGTGGTCGAGGATGGTGCTGATGATGCCCAGTCGGTTGTCCAGGCGTCTGTGCTCGGCCAGCAGCAACTGCTTGGAGCGGAACAGGAACACGTACCTCCCATCCTTCACAGCCTGGAGGTGCTTGACCCGCGTCTGCAGGGCCACCAGCTCCGAGAGGTTCTTGGGTGGGACAAAAAACCCCGCATGAGGTTATGCAGTTTGAAACAGGACACCTGCTGCCCCCACACAAACTCAGGACTGGAGGAAATGCCAGGGGGAGAAGAGGCTGATGCGCAGTAAGCTGGGCCTTCTCCTTTGCCCATTGTCTGAGAGACATTTGACATTGCTGGGTGCCGGTCCCACAGTGGACACTTCCCTGCGCTCCCTCCCCCATCTCTGCTGATCAGGCTTGGACCCTGCAGACCCAGTTGGCCCCACTCTTCTGCTCACACCACATCCAGTCTAGCAGGAAATCCCACTGGAGCAGCTGAAATTATATGCAGAATCCCACAGCTTCTCAGTAGCCTCATGGCTACAGCCCCGGTTTGTGCATCACCTCAAGTAGGCCTCCTCTGTCTACCCTTGACCCTTCAACATCAGAACCAGAGTGATCCTCCTAAATCTGAGCCATGCGTCAGCCCCAAACCCTCCACTGTCTTCCCACACCCCTGAGAAGAGCTCAAAGTCAAGATCACCGCCGCCCCCTGGCCGTGCACAGCATGGGGTGTGGTCTCTCTGCCCTCAGGTCCAGCCTGCTGGCCTCTGGCTGCCCCTAGAGTGGTTTCCTGACCTGCTTTACCCAGCCGGCTCACTCCCTTGCCACCTTCAAGCCTGGACTCAAATGTTTTCTCGAACTACCCTACTTAACACCACC